GAGTGAACACACACACACACACACGTTTATGTTGTATTCTCAAACTTATTTCCTGCTCCTGCACACCTGTGTTTGTCTTTTTTGGCCTCCGGGGTGGGCTTTTTGGGAGGGGGGGATTTAGAGTCTGATGAATCTTTCCTGACAAGAGGAAGAGTTTGTGTGTGATTTAACCAAACCCGTCTGTGAACAATAAAACGAGAATGCATCCATCTCCCTTTGCTCTAAAATCCAACAGTCTTCACACAGGGAATGAACAGATATTTTCATGCAGATGACTTGCAAACCTTTCTCTTTTGGTTTCATCTGAATGTTTTCTAGACATTTTGGTATCCACTGAGTCTTTCCTGCAAAAAGAACACAGCTTTGGTACCAACACTGAACACCAGTGTTTTATGTAAAACCAAAGAAACTGATTTCTTAAGGCCACTGATCATCCAGAGACTGCAGCCAACTTGTTTTTTTTTTACATGAATGAGAAACAGAACCATTCCCAGATCCCAGACCTGTCTTTCTTCACATGATCTGACGTCTTTTTCTGTGGAGGAAGCAGCTTAGAGTCTGACTCCTTCCTGCTTTAGCAAATAAAAAACAGATTCAAATTCTGAGTCTGAATAAAAAAATTTTTTTTTTTCCAAAAAATATTTTCCCGTCTGTAACTCGTCTGATTCAGACCTGTCTCTCTCCTTCATTCCATCTAGAGAGGGCCGCTTCGTAGGAGGAGGAGGGTGAAGGTGAAGAGGAAGCGGAGGAAGAGGAGCGTTGGGGTCAGGAGGCTCTTTTCTAAATGAAAAGACACCTCTGAGCTCAGATGAATCACTTCATAAACAGAGTGAATAATGACAGAAAATCGTTACGGCACTGCAAAGAAAGCAGGCATGCAGAGCCTGACCTTAAGGGAGGAGGATGTAGGTGAAGAGGAAGAGGAGGAATCGGAGCGTTTGGATCCAATGGAACTTTCCTGAAAATCAGCACTTGTTTGAGATTTTTTAAAAGTCTCTCGTTATTTTCTGTCTAACGTCACTCAAGAACTTCAGAAACATGCACCAAACCACATCTGACCTCTCCTTCTTTACTTCCACGGGAGGTCGTTTAGTCGGTGGAGAAGGAGGTCGGGGAGCGTGAGGGCGAGGAGGTCGGGAGGAAGAGTCTTTGCCATCCTTCCTGGACATATGTCACAACAGCAGAGGTCAAAAGGCCACCTGACGATGCGGCATGCTGTTCACAAAAACACACCTGAGTGACTCTTGTCAGCATGCACCATGCACGGCAGGAATCCTGTTAGGCCACGTGGAACACACTGATGCACGTTAAGTCATTAGCAGCAACCGCGCGCTCTGCAGCTCAGGCAGCACGAGAGTCCAAACCTGTCTTTCAGAAAATCCATGGCGGGGCGTTTGATGGGAGGAGGTCGAGCGGGTCGAGGAGGAGAGGGGAAACGGGTGGGATAGAGCACACTGCTGTCCAGCACACCTCTCCTGAAATATACAACAGAGTCTGAAGCTCTGCTGGATCTTACTGGGAAGTGTTGTGCGTTTTTCTGAGCCTCTACGTTCTCACCTTTCAAACAAGGGCTTGTGGGGGTCAGTGGGTCTCTCTCTCTGAGGCTCGCTCAGAGGTCTCTCCCTCTGAGGTGTGCTGGTGAGCCTCTCGTGGTTGTTTTCTTCTCTCTGTTTGTCCTTCCTCATCTCATCTGCAGAGCTGCACTTCTTGAGCTCCGTGGGGTTTTTCTCTTTTTTGAGCTCTTCCACGTGCCTCGTCTTTTTTGGTTCCTCTAATGGTCTCCCTCTTCTCGGCTCGTGCTTCTCACCCCGTGGGTCTTGCGCAGGCTTCGGCTTCTTGTTATCGACCTCCACTTTGGGATTTTCTGGGGGTGCTTGTTTCTCTTTCCTGATTTCCTGCAGATGTTTTGCATTTCCAAGGTCCTCCAGGTGCTTTTCTTCCACGAGGTCGTCAGCATGTCTCTTTTTGATTTCATGGCCATCATTGTGTTTGTCTTTCCTGATTGTATTAGCGTGTTTTTTGTCATGATCGGAGTCTTGTTTTAGTTTGACTTCCTGCTCGCCGTGACTAAGAGAGAAAAAAGAGAAGCACTGTTTTTACCTCTCTGCAAGAATTACCACAGTGAGTGTTGGAGGTGGAAGTGGGTTGAAAAAATGGCAAATATATTAACACGAATATGATTTAAATCACTGACAAGCAGAAGTCAGTGCTTTCATGCAGTTAAACAGTGAAGGACACTTCATAGCGTCTCAGCTTTTACC